ATCTTGCGTGTGGGCTGAGAGCCACACTATAGAATCATGGCTACTATATATAGAGTCAGGTCTGAAATAAGTCTCTTTGTGGCAGCATTCCCGTGTTTGTTCCCGTTCACGCGCCAGGGCTGATGAGGCTTGACTGGTGACAGTGCATTGCATGCTGAATGTAGTGATGGGTCCAAACATCAATGCTTTGTTCAGTGATTGTTACTCCAAACATTCCAAACGATCATTTGCAAAACGTTGAGTTGCATTGAGTTGCTTAATGAATGTCAAAGGGTAATCTAGGTTTGTTCGTCGTGTTGCTCTTGAAGGTTGTAAATATGATGGGCCGGAGCACGATTGATCACGCAGTGCTGATGTTTGCCTTTTCTCACTTGGATACAAAATTGTTTTTACCTGGCCCCGGTTGTTTGTTGATCCAGCGGGACTGAAAAGCTACCAGGTTTTGTTGGCCAGGTGAACAACCTAGTTGCCACCTGCAAGAGGTCTTGGACACTAGATTGTTGACCCACCTGAGCTCTGCCAGTCAAACTCATGAACCTGGGGCACACGCGTCCGGCCAGGTGAGATGGTCTGCGTTAGTCCAGGAGGAGTCTCGCAAAGTGGAGTCTCGATTCTTGTAGACAAATTGAGATTCCAACAAAATCGAGATGGTGTATGAGAATTGACTTGAGAATTGTGTGCATTCTAGACCCCTGAGGTGTATTAGTTCTTCTCATGGATGTATTCGTTCGAAGAAAAGTATTTTGGATCCTCCAATTGTTTAAATTAATTCTTGCAAAGGACACATAAAGGATCATAAAGGCAATGAAGCCAGAAATCTATATATAGTCCACACCAACCACAAATCTTGGCAGAAAGTTGGGGCTCAGGCAAGCCTAGCAAAAGAAAACAACGAGCAACTAGTGCATTGGTGCTTGGCGTTTGCATGTGGAGCCGAAGTCCTGGTTTTCCAGGAGGACGCGGCGGAACAAGGCCTGGAGCACCATTTGCAGTGCTTGATTGCGGTGACGCCGGTTCAGATCATTTCCTCTCTTTGGTTCACTCTCATAGGTCAATAGATGTCAATAGGTTCTGGAAGCATTAAATCTCAGGTAAAGTAAAGTCATCGAAGCTCCATATCATTGTAGAGGCCAACATAAGACAGCCATCCCAAGTTGATCAAGAGCCTGTCTTTGAAGTCATAATTGATGCCTCCAACCTAAGAGGTCCGGGGACCTCTTACCCGAAGTGCTTTCGCCAAGCTTGTTTCGTTTCCGCCCAGGACCTTCGGCTGCCAAAGATTTGCCGCCGTCGGTGCCGGTCGTGGTCATCTCACCGCCGGACGAGGCCAAGCCCTCTGAGGCGGTCGACAAAGAGCGACCGGACGGACTCGAAGGAGCGAAAAGGAGATCGGATTACCGGAGCGAAAGGATGAAGGACGATTTTGCGAGGAATTGCAAATATGTTTTTTTTGTGGTTACAAGTTACAAGGCATGAGAAATGTAGAAACGTCGAAAAAAACTGATGCTATGCTGAACACATGCATGGGGGAACTTGCCCATTTGCCGTCTTGCAGTCTCATGTTCATCCAAGGTTGCTGATCGGCACTGTTAGGGGAAAACTTTCGGGTACGTTCTTCCAATTGCTCATGCATTTTGTTAGTTTTGCAAGGACCTTAAACACTGCTCAAACTGACCAGTCTGGCAAAACACCTACTACGAAGCAATCTCCATTTTCCCCTTTGGCAGCGTGGAATGTACCCTGGACTTCGTCACTTAAGGACTGCGGAAGAGGCGGAGGAGGCCATGCAAGACATCCTGGAGTGGGAAGCCAACGTCAAGGACAACTCTGGAGTGAGCCCGGTGCTGCATGTCCAAGAAGGAATTGGATCCAAACCTTTTGACTAGCCAAGTTGAGTGTTTGTCCAGAAATTCGTCCGGATGAATCTCTTGTTTGATATCTTGTGCGTCGCTGCTTCACCGCAACACGTGGGCTCCAGCTTCTGAAAGCCATGACGAGCAATGCAACATGGTCCGGCCCTCTGAACCGAAGCTGTAGGGAAAAAGGGACGTGCTTGGAGCATGCAAGTTCCCGTGTTGTCTATTTGAGAAGCATTTCATGGCACTCCCTTGCATCAAGGTTGTGGCATTGCTCTGCTGCTTTAGACGTGTGATATACAGAAAAACAAATTAAATCATGGACCTGAGGTTTATGGATGCCGCCGCACAGGGCGGCGGCACTCCAGCAGGCACCGGCAAGGCACGTCTGGCATGTTGGTCGAGGTGGGCTTTAAGGAGTTGAGAAGGCGGTGCTCCATGGTTTGATTGGTTTGTTCTTTTGCAATGGTTTGAAGACTGCCTCATGGCTGGGGTTGTTTGCTGGCTTTCAACACGCAGGGTTGCAAGGCTCTTGGCCATGTGATATCAGCCGGACAGCCCCCGCTTCACCCCTGGCCCTCTTACTTGGTTTGTCCAAGAGTTCTGGTCAGTATAGCCAATGTTACTTTTACTTGTTTAAATGCCTGGCAAGGTCAGTGTTATCAGCTTGCAGAGTATTGGCATTTCTTAGCGAGCATTCATTTAGCGGCTGGTTTTTACAGAGAAACTCAGTTTGGATGTCCGACCTTTGTTTTAGTCCGACAACACCAGGGTCGTTTTGCATTGTTTTTGCCATCCCCTCACTTGGCAGGTCATCACACAGGGTCTTTTTGCCTGCGGCCTCAGCCGACACGGGTCGTCCGCCAGTGGTGACCCAACAGCTTTAGTATTTTTCCGCTCATTAACGACTCCTTCACATGAAGCACCCGGAAACACCAAACGTATTTGCCTGCTTGTTCTCACACTCCTCTTCAACCCCACCTGATGTTACCTTCAAACCATTTCAAAAACCATTTCAATCCCCTTCAGGCGCAACCTGAAGATGTCCGCCCTGCATGGATGAAGGGGCGATCTGAAGCTGACTCTTGGACTGGAAGGATAGAGTGGATTAGCGAGTGGATCGCGGCCGTGCCATTGAACCGGGCCGAAGAGATCAGCGGAGATCAGATCAGAGCATGTTCTAATGAGGATCCGTGCTACTAGTAGCGTCCTCTTGTTCCTAGTAGCAAGGCCAGGAGCGGGCTGGATATTTATCCAACCCTCCAACATATTTGTTCAACCCCAACCTTGTTTCTCCACCCTCCGAGACGCTTTTTCAACCCTGGGTTGGAAAAAAACTAATCCCTACTAAATCAACCCAGGGTCTTTTTTTTGTCAAACCGTTTTTTCACCCTGGAAGCATTATTTTTTCACCCTGGAAACATTAATTGTTCATCCTTGAACCTTTTTTTCCAACCCACAAACATACTATTTCAACCGTATGACACGCTATTCTAACCCTAGGTCGCACCGTTGGGGGCTGCCCCCTCAGTCCTAGGATGTGATGCCTTTGTTGGAACCTCGAATGATTCGGCCGCCCCATTCTGCTATTGCTGCTGGTGCTTCTCCACCGTCTTCCTTTTGCTTTGGCCTTGCTGGCTTGCTGCTTCCAACCTGCACCTGCAGCTTCCGCTGCTGCCGCTGTTGCTGCTGCTTACTGCTTTGCTGTGCTGCAGCCGCTGCTGCTACCGCTGCTGCCGCTGCTGCTACCGCTGCTGCTGGTGCCGGTGCTGTCTTTTTGCTTAGCTGCTGCTGCTCTGCTGGTTTGCTGCTGCTGCTGGATGCTTGCTAGTGCTCAGAAGCTTGCAACCTCGACCTTTCCTTTACCTCCGTTGCGTCCACCGTTGTTTACGTTTGGACGGTTCATGTCGTGGAGTGAAGGCACGTGAACGCCGGATGGCCAACGATGCACCGGGTGTGGATGCATCATACAACACTTGTTTGTTGCACATCACCGCTTTTTGGTTGGGGCTGCCAAAGGGCCACTTCTATCTTCTAGGTTTTGTAAACTTTGGCAGTGCAATTCGGGCCACCCAGTCGTGTGTGGCTTACGTTTTCCAACCTCCGGTTTGTTGTGCTGGACTCAGGACTCCGACACACAGCCAGAACACTCGTTATGAAACTTCCCAAAACATACACCATAGTTTCCCAAAAGACGCTGAGACACACACAGTGTGCAGTTCGTTTGACACTGAGCTGTAATTGTGGCGGTTCGTCCGATACACCCATAATTTAATCGGTGAAACAAAGGTTTCTCAATGATTGGAATTCAACAGGTCCCAGGTTGGAATGTTTTGTGATCAACTGTTCCTGACAAAGAATCCCAAAGAATTGTCCATTGCATATCATTCTTGGAGATGTGATGAGGTTGAGGAACTCTAGTGCACAGGGAACTGCACCATGCCCACTGTGCTGCATTATAAAACGGTTTTTGTTGGAAATCTTCACCGATTGTTTGAAGAGCTCTGAGTCTCAAGCCTTTTGTCACGTGAACTGGATTTCATAAGAAACCTGAAAGACATATATAGTCTAGATTCGACTGCTCTGTTTTGCAGCTTGCAGAGATGCACGTTCAGAGCTTGCCATCCATGCTGCATTAGCAGCATATAGAGTAGGACCCGACTACGACTACGACCAAGAGCGCTACTAGTACTGCTCCAACCAAGACGAAGGTGAAAACTATAGAAGTAGCGCCCACAGCAACTGTTGGACGTAGTGCGAAGCATGTTCCGCGTGGAAGTGAAAGATGGAGAAGTGTGCGTGGCTTTCAATCGAGCAACTTGTCTGCAAGGGACGTCGCAAGGGCATTGCCCGTGGGAGCCGTTATTTGATGTTTTGTTGCTTCGGAGGTGGGGGATGTTCGGAGTATCAAAGAGCGTACTGCAGGTCATTCTGGATCCTTGCATGGTGTCGCTGAGGACAAGATAAAGAAAGTCAAAAGAAGTCGAAAGCTGAAGTTGTGGAGGCTACGCGCGGCCTGCTTCGAAACGACACGGGTTCACCAG